CCAGAACAATCTTCATATTTAGCAAACGACCAATTAGGATATGGTTGTAGAAGAGGTCCACCTTTACCTTTTCTATTAGTTACCACATTCAGAGAAGAAGGCACACCATTTAATCTTTCTATGGTGACAAATATCTTATCTTGAACAAAAAATGCAAAATTTGAAATATTTTTACAATGATGCAAAAACTGTGAAATTCGAATGATGAAAATTATTATTGAATATTAGAAAAAAATATTGGAATATTAAAATATTTCGACGAGCAATATTAGTTTAAAAAGAGGCTATTTTACCATGCCATTGATCGACATCGAAAGGATAATTTTTTGTGTGATCAAATTCGCCAGATTGAATCGCAGCTTGTTGTCTTTCTTCGCTACCGAAATCATAATCAATGTGTTTCCATTCGTAAATCACGTTCATCGAATTTGCCAAATTATTTAAAGATTTTCTTTGATGATTCACAGCTGCGCTTGTGACATCTTGACAAACTATACCAAGACACACCACCAGCAACAACCACTTTGTCATTTTTCTATAAAATATTTCTTCTTGTCAGACAAATGAAAAATTGGATATAAATATTACAATGAAGTAATAAAATAACTTACCTAGGATATTGCAGATATTTTCCCAATGAAGCAATGCAGTATGTATGCAAACTGCAAGAATTTTGACTAACTGTTGATCAATATATAGGTTGTAATGACGTATATTTCACAGAGATAAAATAAATTTTTTTTTTTTTAAATTTCTATTTATCTTATTGTAGATATTTTTCAAGAATGTGACAACTTAATGATTTATATTTCCTAAAAAAATAAAGTAAAAACTTTACAAAATTTCATTTATTTGATATATCATACAGTTATTTTTCTTTGTGTCTTGCTTCATTCTAGAAGAACTATTAATTGAAATAATAATTAGATCTAAGAGAAAGTATGAAGAGTAATTTTTTAAAAATAAAATAATCATAGAAAATATCGTTTATTTCATTAATTTAAAAATTAATACGATTTAGATAAAAAATTATTTATACATACCAATAACAATATGTATACAAAATATGAATTATAGAAAATTTGATTGATCTTTTCAGATTAATCTTATGCAACGAATTTTATTTTATCAATGTGTCTATATCTGCATTCAAAATTCGGAAATTTATCTCATGAAGATCTAAATTGTCATTTTAAACTTTTTGTTATTTGTTAAAATAAACCAATATATATTCATATGGGATGAGCATATATGAAAATTACTAAGACTATTTTCTTGACTTTCAAACAAATAACAATTTTAAAAATCATTATTCTCAGCAATCATATTCTTTGATTTTAATTCAATTATTTAATAATTATTATTAATAATTTCAATTATTTTAATTTTATTTATTTTTCTTTCCATCAAACATTTGTAAAGTTGATTCTATGATTTAATATTTAATTAATATTTAATATTTGCTATCATCTTATAATATGTATATTTTAATTTTCATATGAACAATGATTGTAATATGTCTTTTTATGTTTGTAGAAAAATATGACAATTCAATTATTTGAAACAAGTATTTATTATCATCACTATTTGTCACCGTCAATCATAATTTTCACGAAACTTATTTGTATCTGACAGAAATGATTATACATAACATAAAATGATTAATTATACTGCTTACTTGTCTTATCTTTTTCTATTTTATTATCATATCATATATGTGAAAAATTAATATAACCAAAATATTTTTCTTTAAATGATGATAGAAATGTGTTAATTAAAGTCATCAATGTATCAATTTTTATGTGCTTTTTCTATTTTATTATCAAAATTTTTAAAATATAAAATTTATATTAAATAATTGTTAGTTTTTGATAACCGAATTGATCACAATCAAATTGAAACAATTTTTAATTATTTATCATTTTGATCAATTTAACGTTAATTATTTCGAAAGTATTATATGATTTCTAATATACATGGCTTTACACGTTTATTAGAATTATATATATATAGACAAAAAATTGTAAGATTATATATATATAAAAGCACTTGTATCATTTACCAGTTCGAAAAAAATGTCACTTTAGCGTTTATCTGGATTGGTAAAATATTCTGACTTTTGAAAATTATTGTCATATTTATTCGTGATATTGCAGATTGTTGATCGATTCTGCGAGTTCCATCGTGTTCACATAATCCAAATCACAGAGTTGTGGTAAAAATTGCATATTAGAACTTAATAACATCTTCAAAATTTCATTTTATTTTAAAAACTTTTTCCATTGACTGCGAATGTGCCATTCGAAATTGTGATGGAAAGTGTTCGACGTCAATCATCAAAATGAATCGAATTGGAATTGTAAATAAAATTAACGCGTAACCTATTGTATCTATACATATACAGACGTATTAAATGATATCAAATATTCCTTTAGAAGGTCGGTTTAGAAACATAAAAGTTATATATACAAAATTATTTATAACTTTATATACTTATAATATTATTTATATATATTATTTATATATACTTATAATAAATAAACGATATTAACTTTTATATTTGTTTTAAAGATGTTCTATGAATATATTAACGCATTCTATATTAATGTTTTATCTAGAACATTCGCCAAAAAAAAAAGAATTATAATAAACATAGATTAGAAAATTAATATTATTTATAAATTGTAAATAATTTTTTATTTTTTTTTAAAGCACTTCTTTAATACATAGGAGTTTTAAAATATATAGAAAGAATTGTACAATTTTTTAATATTAATTCAAAATTATAATTTTGCATTTAGATACAGATCGTCGTTTTGTTGTCCTTCTCTATCACAATAATATCAATTAATATACGTCATATTAGAAATAAAAATACGTATAAAAATAGAATAAATTCAATAATAACTTATATAATTTTATATAAAGTAATATATAAGATATTTATAATAATATATAAGATTTATTTATATCAATTTGTACAAATAAATATCATAAAAAGTATTTAAAAAAAGATTGTTTTTTTTATTTCCATTTATATCTTATATAATACTATTATATAAGTACTATTAAATTATAATTTGAGAAAATATTTTTTTCTTCTTATATTTATTTTAACATTATTGTAAGAGTAAATTTTAAATTTAATAAAAATGTTTAAATTTAATAAAATATGATAAGCGGGATTGCAAGCTTGACACATTCTTTTCTTTTTATTTTAGTAATATTATCTCATCATGTTGAGAAATGTTTTCAACATATTCTACCAAATTGTTTCCTAAAAAACTTGTTCTTGTCCAAAATTTCATGAATAATACATTATTTTACTTTATATTTTATTTTTTATCAGTTTTATTTTATATAACAAATTTTTATCTCTTATTTTTATTTCTGATCAAAATATTTTTTATTTTACGTATATGTTTTTTTTATTTTTATGACAATGTCTTTATCAAATTTTAATTAATTCTTTTTAATTCTTAATTATTGAATTTTTCGAAATTTGTTTAGATTATTTTTATTTTATCAAAATTCTAATTCAAATTTTAATAATAATAATTAATAAAAATACAAAAACTAAAAATAAAATATTCTGTAATCAAATAAATAAAGTAACTTAATAAATATCAATAAATAAATAATATGATAAGTCAGTAATATAATCCTCATGGTCATTTTTTTATTTCACTCCGCTATTTTGAAATAAAATCTTTGTAAAAATATAAAAATGTCTACAGCACCACGAGCAATAAAAATTCATTCTCAATATTTTCTTCTAAAATAATTACTTCTTTTCTGATAATCACAATTTTATTCATCTTTCATTCTAATTTGAATTTTTCCAAATAATCTTAAAATCTTTCATTATTGATCCACGAAGAATACATATTTGCGGTTTTAATATTAAAAGGATTTTGCAAATAACTATGATGATGATAATAATGATTCCTAAAATAGTTTCGAGAATAATACGATTCGAAGCGATCGTTTATAAAAAATGGTGTACTCTTGAAGATCGAGTGCCGCCACGACGGCCAGGAACTATGATGATAGTGATTAGAGAATTGCTCGTGGCGCCATGATCCTCATTGAGACGGTATAAAACGACCTAAGAGAGATACGTCACATTTGGTGCCACGAACTAATTCATCCACAAATCCAGCCTGGATCCTGAAATTGGTCTCGTTCGAATTCATAGTACCAGTCATATACTTTTGAAATGATATCGTGAAGACCCACAATTCTTGTCTATCTTTTTTGGATGATATGATCTAAAACAAGATATATGTAGATATTAGCATTAAAACTTAACTTTTAATAAAATCTATTTAATTATTAGTTAGAAGATTGAATATATATATAACCAAAAACTTAATCTGAATGTATCCTAAATCTAATTCTAATCCATTTCAAATCTTAGAAGTACAATATTTAAGTTAAAAATTCGTCAGTTTCTCTAAATCTCTAAATTCAGTCTAAATCTATTTAATCCTAATCTTCTAAATTTCAAATTTAGAAATACGATATACAGATTAAAAGTTTATTTATTTTTTATATTTTCTAAATTACGTTTAGGAAAATACCAAGTTAAGTTCACAACGCATTTTTGGTTATAAAAGCTTCAACTCGAAAATAATTTTTATTTATAATAGTGTTACCTTACCGGAGATCTTATGCATTATATATTATATTTTGAAACATGGTATCGAAAATATATTTATGTATATTTCGTAAAATAAAACCAATTGTTACGAATAAAAAAAAGCATTGAAAATAATGATAATACATTTCAAATTCAACAAAATCAATGAAATTATTTTTCTTCTACTTTAAATAATAACTAATGTCAGATTATATTATATATATTATATTACATATTTATATGTACCTTCATACCAGACGGAAACTGCAATGTTTCTGGATCTTTGACGATTATCTCAATATTATTTCCTCCGTATTCGAAAAAATGCTCGCTATTCCAGCATCCAATCGCTAGATCAGATAACAATCCGAAGAAAAGTACTCCGTTATGATCCATAACCTCGGCGACAGACTGCGAAGATCTTTCAATCGAGAATGGTACGAATGATCTTGCAGCGGCCTCGGAATTCTCATTGAAAAGAGTATAATTTCTAGGTTAGAAAGAATAATTGTTTTTAAATAGAAGCTCATCGACAACTAAATAATGAATAATTTAAGAATTAAATCCACTAAAGACCAGCTTTCTTGTAATTAAATTAAACATTTTATTGTTTTTTTTTCATTTTATGAAAGAATCATTTTATAGAAAACATTTAATAATATATATAACTAAACTGATCTACTCTATAATAATAATAATAATAAAAATAATATACATTTTTGCATATTTCAATAACTTAATTTTTTGTTACGAATTATTTTTACAATTTATTTTATCAATTTTCAATTTTCAAATTAATCGAATTTTATTGTTAAAATTTGATTACACAAAATGTATTTAGTTTTCCTGTTAAAACAATCAATTTATAAAACGTATTTAAATAAATATCTTACAGATCAGGAATGAAGTATAAGTAGTATAATGATAATTTTATAATATATTCTATATTCTTGATTAAAAATCAAAATTAATTTTGCACGATGAATCTATTTCTCAGCAATTCAGATTACGAAAAGCGTTACCAGCGCCATAACTAACCTGATCACAGAAGTATGCACCCATGATTCGACTCTGCTGGCCAACGAATGAAAATAA